TGTCTCTCTCTGTCTCTCTCTGTCTCTCTCTTTCTCTCTCTGTCTCTCTCTCTCTCTCTCTCTCTCTCTCTCTCTCTCTCTCTCTCTATAGCTCTATGACGACTGCGGGTTTGAGGTTTGAGCCAGCCGAGCCTGTCCGCGGCTCTTTTGGCAAATTGGTGGCCCTTGTGGAGAGGGCTGCGCTGCACCTACACATTGCATTGGCCGACGACTCCGACGAGGATCCGACGATGGCCTGGGGCTGGAGGTGGGGCCGCTTCGCACCGTCCCGCTCAAGGAACCAGGGCCTTGGCCATTCCCGATCCCAGACGCCGATTCCCGCAGCAAAAAGCGGGTTAGGCCCGCACGGTGTGAAAATGGCTGGGGCTTCGTCCTCCACCTCGACGGCCAGGCGTTCCTTCGAGGTCATCCGGGCGCGGAGCCCTCGCGCCCTTCGCGGCACGCAAGGTGTTCATTTTACGTGGACCGAGTCCGGGCCCCGACGACACCGGCTTCGCCTGCGCCCGCTCTTTTGGTAGGTGCCGCCACCGAGTTTCGGGGCGGTGTGCCCGGCCGGGTGCAGTTCGACTGCACCTGCAGTAAGATTTTGCTAACACGTCGTTAGCTTTTGGGGGATTTTTTGGATTGCGGAGCCTTAGTGTCGGTTGAAAAAAATTGGGACTGCAGGCAGACATGCTGGAATCGTAGGTCACCAGTGGGGACCGGCAAGCGGCCCGTGAGCTAAGCCAGCTAAGCTTCGGGGTTTCAAAGGAAGGCTTCGGGGACGCAGTTCCTGTTACAAGGGGTTGGCCTTGCTTGCCCTGTTATGGGAACCAGTTGGTTTGTGTTACGATGTAGGGGCTTGTTTTTGTTACACTGTTACGCGGCTCTGTTACGGTCAGCGGGTTCCCGATATGGCAAATACTCAATGTGCGGTATGGCTTGAATGCGGTTTTGCCGCCCATTCCGGCAGCCTTCCAAATGAAACAAAACGGTGCTTGGCAATGCAGCCAGGGCCAGCCGGCACCAACGAGCGAGTCTGTGACAGAAAAGCTGAAATCTAGTCAGGCGGACCAGTCGTAGCACCTAGCTGAGGCCGAGCTTGCCAATCCTCCATGCGACTTTGATTTCGGGTCCTTCTACAAGGAGTGGTACCGCAAGGCTCGCAGCTGACTGGGATGAAGGATGATGTGGATGTCTGAAAAGCGGTGATCCGAATTTCGGGTCCAACACCCGAAACTGCACATGGTGGCTTTCTCAGGACGGCTACGTTGGACCGTGCGGACCTCCCAACGCAAACTGCAAAGGCACGGGGAAGCATCCGGAAGCCATCTGAAGCCTGCGCTTCACTAAACTGACCACCTCGCAGTCTGTTCTGAGGTGGCATTGGCTGGATTCGCCACGAAGGCTGTGGCTGTGGTAGCGGGGCGGCTGGAATGGACGCGAGGGCCTTCTGACCTGTCATCGCAGTAGTCAGTCGTTGCGTGAAGCTTGTACCACGAAGCAGAATCTTGGGTGCCAATCGCACGTTGCCTGTGATGTTCAGGATGGGGCGATGGCAATTGTGGATTTCGGTTTGAAGTCAGCGGGTTGCTTAGCTCGCGAAAACCATGCTTCCAAATTGCGGAGGCCTTTCGCAGAATCCGGAGTGGTACGTCCCCCTCACCGCTTCGGCCAGCGATGATGAAATCCAACGCCTGCTGTACCAGCTAGGCCCTTCGGCGTTTTTGGTCAAAGCTGTCATTTCCCCTTCCATGAAACGACACAGACTTAGCTGGAAATCGCAACATGTCAACAGCGCGATGAGTTTTCCGCCTGCAGGTGACGATGCAAGCTTTCCGTCCTGCTTTCCTTCAAAACCGATCTTTCCCCAATCCAGCAACTGATAGTTTTGCAAACGAAGTGACATCTAGCAACCGGCAAGCGACGGTTAGCAGCAGGCCGCGGCAAGCCTTAAATCAAACTTCGCATCCGTTTCTTGGTGATATCGTCGGAGGTGAGATCCGCAGATGCTTCAAGAACCCAAAAGGTCTGCTCTGGCGGTAGGAAGCCCGTTGGGCTCGAATGCGCAATGTTGGCGGTTTGTGGCGAAGCGGAGCTCGGAAGTCTTCGACCAAGATTAAGATGTTGGTTTGGGCCCGACGTGCAGCAAGGATGTGCAGAGCTTAGCAACATGCAGAACACCCCTGCGCGAGTCCCGCAGTCCCGTTTGTACATCCGTGTATATCCCAAAGCGCCTTTGAAAGGGCAGACTTTGGGTCGGTTTGTAATAACGGCGTGGGCAAGCAGTCACAGGTGCATAAACTATCATGCTGGCACTGTTTCCAGGTGATTGCACAGGCCCTTGCGGGCTCCACGGAAAGGCCGAATGGGCTCCTCCATACAACAGTACATAAACCACTCTGCTTGCGTCTCGTGTGCATGTGCTCACCCCAGACGCTTCACTAATTATAGCCACCAGGCAGCTTGCTTCCTGCTTCATTGCTGCCATGGCACGTGTCTTAATTAAAGTCAAGTTGCATCACTTCGGGGGCAGTTTGATCTAAGGAAAGAACGAGTGCCTGCGTCCGTGCGAGAGGGGCGAGACTCCCACTGCATCTACGCCGCCCACCGCGACAGCTCCCTGACTGCTTGCCTCGTCGAATCTCATGGTCCCAGTGCCAGAATATCCAGATTTTGTAGGATCTTTTTTTCCAATGATGTTAGTGCGAAGATCCACTCAGCAATAACGGCTTCGCCTTGCATGCGCAGTTACCGAGAGAGCGATGCAAGATTCGGTGTTGAACGTTGGGTAACGGCCAGCGCGGTATCGGTGTGTAAGTAAAGAGGGGAGCACGTGGCGTTCGTAGAATGCGACGCGATGGTATCGTGACCTATTGTATCTGCAGCCTGCAGCTCGGGTATGGCATGTTGGCTGTTGGCCCTGCATCGATCAACTTTCGGTTAATTTCAATTCACATGCATTTAAGGCAGACATGCAAAAGGCATGTTCATGCCATTCCATGCACCTGCTAGCACTGCCCGGATTTTGGCGATGTGTTTCTTCCGCAGCGTGTCATCCAGCCGACCAGGAGCATCAACTTCATACAATCGCAGTTTGGAGTCTTGTGAACTCCAATGTGGGTTTCCGCTTCCTGTAGCTCCCAACATGCCACTTTTTCCGGGCGTCGGTAGATGCAAATTTCATCTCTACTACCAGGATTGACGTGTCCGAAGCCTTTGCAAACATTGCAAACATGTGTTGATCTGTCGAGCACCCCATGCCCGCAGTTGTTGAGTCCTTAGACATCGTGCTTCAGGCTTGTCGAAGACGGATCGTAGTTGCATCTTGGAAGCAGCTCTTGACAGAGCATAGGTTTGTTGCACCGAAATCCGTGGCACCTGCGAATTCGTCTACCCTGCAGCTGAATCTTTATGTCTGACGCTGGGGATCTACCGGGCCAGCAGCCTCCCAAACCATGATGCGGAAGCTGTGGAACTGTCGAGGCTTTGAGGTTGGAGGCTCCGAGTGGCAGGTGGTAGCACTGTCCGTTGATGCTAAGATGGTACAAGCCCTTGTCGCAGGCTGTTTCGTTTGAGGCGCTAGATCAAAACCTTGTGCTGCCTGTAGAATCGGCCTGTTAGAGGCATGACTAAATTGACTAAATCGTAGACCGCTTGGGCTAGATTCCTAGATGGCTACTCTCGGCTACGTGACGGCAGAGTCCTGGCTATCCCCAGCTTTGGACCTCCGTGATAGGGAAGTGAATTTTGTCGGCTACGAGGGAAATTTTGTCGGCTGAGCAGTGCTTCTCAGACGTCCGACCCGCGAGGTACTGCCGGCGAAGTGACTGCGTTCCGAAACCAGACTTGTAAGCAAAGAGACTGGCAGGCTCCTGGTTCGGAAAGCAGTTCTTGCTCACAATGCTTTTGGCCGGCTGCCTAGCATAGCCTGGCCTAGCGCCTAGCAGCTGGACGCTGGCATCGACTGGGGCGGACAAATGGCGAAGGCATGAGCTGATTTGCTCAGTGTGCGCAACAAGCTACGCTGCTACACTGCCTGGGATTTTCCGCTGCCAGGGCAGAACTTACTTAGCTTACACGAGTCGAGTCGCGGCACTCGATGCCATGGCCGATGCGATGCCTGGCCACTTGCATGTCGATGTTTCCCACGAAGCTGCAGTCACAAGGAAAAGCCTCACTTCAGGACAGGTATCCAAGCAATATCCAGCACAGCACTTACAAACTTCACGTCCACCGCCTCCAATGCTTGCTGCACATGGCGAGGCAGCTTGCCAGTATGCAGATCGCTGTCTGGTCGAAGCTGAACGACTTATCCAGCGAATCATCAGTTTCCAGAGGCAGCCGAGAGACCGTAACATTAATTATGTTCGTCCGCATCGGAGACTCCGGCAACTTCATCATGCAGACCGTGCTGCCATGACTGACTCAGATTGCCTAAGCTCGGTCCTCCCTACCCGCCACGGGCCTAACATACCGCAATCATTGGCCTCCTGCCAGGGCAGTCCGGCATTTGGTTACGCTCTGCAGGGATGGTCCCAAGCACAGGGGAGTGAAGCCGTGAAGATGTGAAGCTGACGTGCGAATTGTGGACTTCAGCATGAGGCCAAGCACAGAAATCAAGAAGTCAACTTTTCTAAGGCTTTCCGTCGCGATCCTGGGCCCGGGAGGGCTGGGCACCTCAGCCCACGGCCGGCCAGGCCGTACGCTTCTTCGGCGTCAAGGCTCAAGCCGTGCGGTTCATGCGTGCCGTGCGGTATTTTCGGGCGTGACGAGCCGGCCAGGCACGGCACCGAGGCTGCGTCTACGTCCCGCGGAAGGTGGGCCGGCCGTGATGTGCCATGATAACAGGCAAGCCGATATGTTCAACAGCACAGATTCAACATCCGACCCTGAATTTTAAGTCCATGCCGTTCAGACACCCGTAATCATCGCTTGCACTGGTTGCCGTACATTCTGTTGCTGCTGCTTGTCGTTGTGGCTTTTCGATCTCTGCTTGCTGCTTGAGCCGTCTGCACTTTTTATTTATTCATTGGAAGTGCCTCGGCATGAAATTGTCTTGGGGCAGGTGGCACGCAACACCCTTGGCAAGGCGAGACGGAACCATTCAGACGAGACGCTGTTGCACCGCGGCAGAAGAAGGCAGCATCCTTGGCGCATTTCAGAGTAGAGTCCTTGGCGAGATTGAGGTTGCCACCATTTGTGTCTGCAACGGAGCTGCGCATCCTCTTCAGGCCTGAACTCGGCGGTTGAATGCAGTCTTGTCGCAGAGTGTGAGACGTTGAGCTTTGGCTGCTGCAGCTTCAGTTGTGTGTTGTTTCTGTTTGGCAGGTTGGACTATTCCAACACAATGCGCATGCTGGGAGTTCGTAGCCAGCTTAGTTCTGAAAACTCGGCGAAGACTTGTGTGTGTTTGAAGCTGAGACGGACTTGCAGCCACGTGCCAGCCCACCTAACCTACCTTCTTTTATCCAGCGTCTGCTCCGACACCTACCGATCCACAGGCACCCCCGCACCACCCCCCATCCCACCAAAAGAAACGAGAAACGAGCAACCAACCCTGCACACCCCCACGCAGCCTTTCAATGCTTTTTTCCTTCAACATGCCCACTTGCAAGCTCATGGCAGACTGACCGAGGCTCGATGGACAAGAAATATTTCTGGAAGGCTCTTTGCGTGCGACTGGTGTCTTCTTCCATTGTACCTTCAACATCAGTCATGTTTTGCATAGCCTCGGCGCCCCGACCCCAGGTCCTGCAAGTAGTGATTCTTGTATACTCTTGTTATGCTGGGTTGCGCAACAGTGCACCAATGATGGCTGCTACCAGATTGCGCAGAAAGGGCTTCATGTCTGTGCAGGACTTGGAGGGCCGTGAGTTCGAGTCAACGTCCAAGCGTAAGGCGTGGATAGAAAGGGTGACACGCGTGTAGAGAGAGTCTTCCGTTGACCAGTGGAGTGCAGCAGAGCAGAGTTCCGAGAATGGTGCCCCTCTGCCAAGTCTTCTCCAAGCGACGGGAACCATCGTTGCGGAACATAGCGCAACTAGATCAGGGGAGTTCTGCTACTGCCTCCTGAAAGGGTTGTTGAACCGCCTGAAGCCTGAGATTGTCCTAAAATGAAGAGATCGCTTGACATTTTTCCCAGGTTTGGTGATTGCTGGAGTCCACGTGTGACTGTGAGGTCTTGGTTCCCTTTGACATGGCGGCCACTCCTTTGCGGGCTTTTGGATACTCGCCCAAACTTGTGCTTCCCCCAGAGAAAGTAAAAATGGATCGCAGGTCTCTTCGGAAGCACAAGCAAAGTTTCACCAGGCCCAGCCTTTCGCCCAGAACCCGGCAGGCGTCTCTATGTCCTAGGCCACAGATAGCTGTGGTGCGGTGTTCCCGGATAGAGCGAATTCATGGCCCATGCTAGGGTCCTTGTCTGCTAGATGGTGAGCAAGTCTGCGGGTGATGCCTGCAAAGATATCAAGGTGGATGTGGAGCCGGACTGGGATGGCATCAGTGGGACTGCAAAGGCAGTGCCTGTGGTAGCTGTGCCGGGACCCTGGCGGGCCTGTCGTTTCGGTCCTGCCTAACCCAGGATGTTGAGTGTGAAGTGCTGACCACAAGAATGGAGCAGGGCGTTGAATGTACTTGTGCATCAGTTGGCTTGTGTTCCCCCTGTTCCGCTAGAGCAGAACACAGGCACGGCCCGTTCCCGGATCTTGTTCGGAAGACTCCTTGCACGGGAAAACTCTTGCCGACATCGCGTCCTCCGGAGTGGCCTGCTGTGGGAACCATAGACAACACGGAGTCTTCCGTGCTCGACATTTTGTTGCTGCTCTTCTTTGCTGTCGCTGTTGCTGTCGTCGTCGTTGTTGTTGGCAGGTGGTGCATCTACAGCATGCCAAGTGCCAATACTCGAGGTCTGCACTTTGCAGTTTTTTTTGGTTTTCGTTCGTGTCCTTGTTTGCCCAGAATTTGCTCTTGCTTCAATTTGCTTATCATTTCCATCGCTATTTCCACTATTTGCTGGTGTCCTGTGGGTGTTTTCGCTGTTGCGTTGTTTGGGTGGTTGTGCTGTTTTGGTCCTTGGTGGTCTTGCACTTGCTTGTTATTCCTGCTTTTGGTGTCGCCGGAGTGAGGGAGCGAGGGATGATTGCGTCAGTGCCAGTTTGGCCCCGTTTGCCTCGGTTGTATCTTTGTTGATTGCTTCTGCGGATGGCCGGGGCTGGGGGGGGGGTCATGACATCCCTGCCAGTGAGCTTTGTGCCGACTGCCTTCAAACGCACGTCAGACGATGTCAGACATGCACATCCTCGAAAGTCACGGGAGTTGCGGCTTTTGAATAAATCGAAATTGGATCGTCTCTTCTGCATCTACTGTGTACTCCGATGATGACGGTAATGGCGATGATGACAACGATGATGCTGACGCCGCCTGTCCTGATGACGATGGTGGGGATGATGATGATGACGATCCTGCTTGTGGGTTGCCTGTTGCCGTATTCAAGGAACATCAAAGGTGCTCGTCCAAACCACGGTGTTTGTTTTCGAAAGCCGCCTCCAACCAGGCATCGCTGTACATCGCCGTAAAGGAAAAACAAACCAAAAACGACCAACAACAGCGACAAACGCTTTGGAAAGCGAGAACCTAAGAAATGGCTGTAGCTAACATGTTTTTCCACAAACAGACAAACCAGCCTGCAAACCAGCCAGCCAGCCAGCCATCCAGCCAGCCATCCAGCCAGCCATCCGGCCAAGCAAGCAAGCAAGCAAGCAAGCAAGCAAGCAACCAGTCGGCAAATGCTCTACTTTCTTTGTCGTTGATGGTGGCAGTGGTGGTGATGGAGCAAGCAAGGCAGTAGATCATCGTCGTCGCCGTTGCAGGAATAGTAGTAGCATTGGCGGTCGTAGTTAGCTAGTTCTACAAACACGCAGCAGGAGGGGGAGGTGGAGGGAGGAGGAGGTGGAGGTGGAGGTGGAGGTGGAGCGTGGAGCAGCAGTTGCAGTGCAGCAGGCGGCAGAAACCGTCCCAGGTTGGGACACATCAATCACGGCAAGACCACGCTTCTTGACGCTGTCTGTGGCACGAATGTGGCCGAGAACGAGCCGGGCAGAATAACACAGGCAAGGCTTGCTTTGTGGTCCGTCTTGAAGGATCCCGCAATGGTTTGCCTGCGAAGGATGTGAGGGCGATGACGGGCTTCATGGAGGAGGCAGCCTTGGAGTTGGACACAGTGAAAGGTTGGCAGCCCGGCGCAGGGCTGGAGAGACAACAAGTGCAGGTGGACTTGTTGAATTCTGCTCTTGCCCTAGGCCGGCGAGCAGGACTTGAGCTGCAGGCATGAAGAGGGAGTGTGGCACGGTTGATGGGTTCATGGCCTCTGGACATATCGACAGCAAGGCAGCGTCGCGAAAGCGCAAGCCTTGCTTGCACAATGTCAGCTTGTACATGCCGGCACTTGCTTTTGCGGCTCGAAACCCCAAACCTCTGCCCACTGGGCCATGGGCCGTCGGTGTGCTACAAAAGTCTGCCACTTCAGGAGCAAAACTCTGCCAACAAAAGGCAGGCTTAGGGCTTAGGATTCTGAGTATGTGAACCAGACTGAGAGGCCCGACCAAGCTGCACAGATTCTGCATAATTTCTGCATAATCATCACAGGAGACTTGATTGACTTTCGACCGGGCAGAGATGACCTGGATGGGCGCTCAGCTTGAGTTTTAAGTAGGCTTCTTGCTCTGCGGCTTTCCTGACCTCACTGCAGGTTTGCGGCTGACGTGGAGGAACGCGCTTTCAAGTGGCAACGCTCGGGCACTTGGTGCTTTGGGATGCTTGGGGTCAGGAACATCTGCTCCAGGAATCATGAATTGCTCTAGGTGCTTTTGACAGCAGGTGTTTAGATCCTCACTCACTTCTCTTGCAGACCTTCCTGAGTTTTGCCATTGCGCGCATCTTGCTCCACCTGTGCGTGCTGAGACCTGCCTCTTGCGATGGACGCACCGCCGGGTCTCGAGGCACAGTGGCTTAGGGGCACAGATGTGTGGCCTTGCGTGGTGGACATTAGCTGTCAAAGAGCTGCAGTAAATGCAGCGTGCGCTGAGAAAGAGCCTTTGGGTCTTCCGGACTTCAGTGGTACTCGCTCCAGGTTTTTCCAATCAGGGGCGTGCTTGCCTTGCAAGTCTTCAGTAAGTCATTGGGGAAGCACGAAGTCGTATCGAAGCAAAGGTCTGCTTCCATTGCATCATGTAGATGCATAGCGATGGTCTGATGATACTTGTGTCCTATCGTTGGTAGCTGGTAGCAGTAAAATGACTAGCACGAGGAGGCACAGAAGCAGCAGCAGTAGAAGTGGCAGTACGGCAGAGGTAGGTGTAAGTGGCAGTGGCAGTTTCGTCGTCGTCGTAGTAGTAGTAGCAGTAGTCGTAGTAGTAGTCGTCGTCGTAGTAGGAGGAGGAGGAGGAGGAGCAGCAGCAGCAGCAGCAGAAGCAGAAGCAGAAGCAGAAGCATCTCCGATGCCTAGGATTCTGACAGGGCTGTGTGTTTACAGAAAGCTGAGCCGCACTCGCGTTCTCACATGAGACACGGGCATGCTGAGAGGGCGGCTTCTTAAGCTCGTACGAAGGATTGACGGTTTGAAAGGAAAGTTTGCACAGCTTTGTCCCGAGGCGGAAAACCCCACAGCAACTGCTGCGCTCCGCGCGCAAAGCAGCTCGTGCTGCAACTGCAGCGAATCGATGTCTCGGCGGCTGCGGCACGAGTGAAATAGCTTGTCGACCGCAGATCCTATCAAAGGTGATGTGGGCACTTCTCTTGCCAGCCTCGCCAAGAGTGCCACCTGGCATGCTAAGGACATCCCGATATAAAGCTGCATAGAGTCTCAAGCCAAAACGCCTGCCGTGCTCCGTGTCATACCGTTATAGTTGTGGCAGATCCGACGAGCAGGCTTCATGTTCGCCCAAGATTGAGAACTCCAGCCTCAAATAAAGAACGACACGGACGAGGCAAGGTGTCTATCAGATTGTTTCAAAACACGCTGAGGTCAACGACTCCGTTGTCGAGATGGCTTCGGATTGGCCAGTGCCTGAGGATAAAAGCCCTGTTACATAGATTGAAATTGGTGGCCCGGTTTATTAGGTTCACCGCAAAACGATAAGGCATAAATTTACGGAAAAGGGTTTCTGTGTCGACATTTGTCGGTATGGAACCCTAAGAGACCCACAGTGACAAGAAGCAGGCGTCCGAAAAGCACAACGTCTTGAAAGAAGCCGGCAGCATTTCTTATTCAGTCTTGGGGCGTGTAGTCACTGTAGTCGTAGCAAACACAAGAAGAAAACGTCCTCGCTAACCTAAGACCCCAAGTGAAAGTAGCAGACGCATGCAAGTCAGCAACTCTTCAACAAATCCGCAGCGTTGGCATTCGAGAACTGTGCCGTCTTAGTGTGGCAAGAGTATATCCGGACCTAAAATCGATTCGCGGTAGTGGATCTTACACGGTGCCCTTGCCCCAGCCCTGTTACTGGGACCTGTCTACTATTCAAACCTCTTGTCCCACAAGTACCAGGCAGTCCTCAATCAGACTTGTAAAGTGTAAAATCCTATATCCCAACAACATGTCCAAAAGCACAAAAAGCAAAAACGCGATAAGCCAAAAGCGCTAGAGCGAAGGAGCTCGATTGACACGTGACAGCCGCAGGAACTCTGGCTGTTGCATTTGCCCTCGCCGGTCCATCAAGAAATTTAGACACGTACGATGAGGATAGAGGGATTGGGAGGAGCCGGGTGGGGTGGGGGGCGGGGGGCGTCCAGACCCGTGCCCTGCTGTCCTATCCCCCCGGCCTACAAAGGAAATAAACAAAAAGCAGCGAAACAAACAAAGACAAGACCAGAAGCGAAAAAAGGTGAACAACAAGCAAAAGAGGTGGGTTCCGGCAGATGCCTCATGCAACGACAAGCAGCAAAAACTGCGTTTTCTTTTGCCGTCCTTCCGCAACCTGGGCTAGCGGCTGACGGCTGACTGCATTCCTGGGGCAGTTTCCGCGATCGGGTGATTCAGGATTTCTCAGCGTCGCAAATTACTTGCACGACATCGGGGTTAGCACGGGTTACAAATAATCACTTCTCTCTGGTTTCGGGATGCACAGTTGGCAGTAGCTTTGTGTTTCGGCGGACATGTTCTGATTTAGGTTTTTCGGATGCAAGTTTTCACATTCAGTCGTTTGCTTGTTCCCTCAAATACCCTTCGGGGGTTGGGAAATTTATCTTTGCCGGGCAGGGCTCACGGTTCACGAAAGAAAGTTTCCGCGGACAGTGTGGACGGGGGGCTGGGTAGATTGGTGGAGCCTTCGCCGAACGATGCGGCTGCTGTGGACACAGGGGGTTCGGGGCTGTAGGCGTCGAGCGTTCGCGGCACGACGCTGACGTGGACGTGGCTGTGAGAGGCTCTGGGCGTCGAGCGTTCGCGGGACAAAGCTGGCGTGTACGGGGACGGGGCTATGGGGAGGCTGATGAGGGCCGAGAGTTCTTTAAGGTGAAAGGGGCTGGGCAGGCTTTGGGAACGAGTTTGCGTGGCGACGCTGCCGAGGACTCTGGATGTATTGTATGTGCTGACTCTGCATGCTTGACAGATCTTGACGGCACAATCTCCGACATGCGACATTACACAGGCTTCTATTCGCTGCAATGCCTGAAGAACGGTTTGGTTTTTGGGTTTCCGGCTTGACCTTGTTGTTCGAAAATGTTCGAATTTGGCTGCATCAATGATTTTAGCGGTATTGTATTTCACAAAATTCGACACCGAGAAGCTTTGTACAAGGACTGTTTTCCACAGTGATTTCGTCTCTATACGGAATAGGACTCTGTGAGTGTTTTTGTTCGTGCATTCCTGACGCTTCGAATACAGTGTGGATTTTCCTGGATGTGGTAAATATTTTGCTTTGCATGCAGATTGTGTCAACTTGTGCAGTAGTGCTTCGTTTGGGACAGGGTCTTATGGCAAGCCTCTCACAGTGTGTATGCCTTTGTGTGTGTGTGTGTGTGTGAGAGTGTGGGGTTGCGCTTTGAAGCACGAGAGATATGCCCAGTGCCAGGCACACTGTTTTGTCCATGCTGCCGTACATTTCCAACATGACCGGAATCTTGGCTTGGCCTTCTGTATTCGGAAGCTTTCCTCGTCTCCGCAGCCCGCAGTGACCCGTTGCTTCTGCTTCTCGAGCTATTTGGAACCAAGCTGCCGGGGCTGAATTGGTCTGAGCAGTGCCAGAGCTTTGTGAACCTATCTGTTAAGGACCGGGAGAAGGCTTGCGGCTGCCGGAGAAAGCCCTTACAGACCCTCTGCAGGAAAGCAAGGCACTGGAGCAAGCTTCTGAAGTGTTTTTTTGCTTTCTTGCTCTCCCTCACATGCGCGAAGCTCTCTCTCTCTGTCTCTCTCTCTCTGGCTCCGACCATGCAGACTGATGATCCAATGCACTCAGTGGTTCCTGGAAGTTCAGCTCCGGCTGTACAGATTGGGACCGATTGCCGTAAACGTTGGAACTGTCTGTGGCAGTTCGTATGCCTTTGCCTGCGCCAGCCCTGCGCACTGGAAACCGAATGCATGCATTAATTTGGTCTTTGCCAGTACACCGGCTGACTCAAAAGCGTGAAAAACGAACAAACGAACGCTTACAACATCAGGCAGACAGCAAATCAAGCTAAACACACAAGCCACAGCAAAGACAAGCACAGACCACATGCAGCCTCTACACTTTGAGCCGGTTTGTGACTGTGAGATACCGTGAAATAGAAAGCGCATTTCACAATGAGCCTCGTCAACCATGTTCTGGTGGTCGAGATGTTGATGGAACAAGTACAGAATGTGGGACATTGTGGAATCTTGATTGGTTACCACGCATGGTTACAGTGGGTGCCTTGATGCCTGAACCCATGTTTCGAAGTCCAGGCCTATGTTACCCGTGCATTCATTGGCAACACTGGCGTCAAAAATGACAGCAGTGCAGCAAGGATTTTGGGTATTCGCTACATTCAATGTCACTTTGCAAGCGCATGTGGTTGATCGGACCACTCTCCGGCATCCTGGCATGTCGTGGAACGGCTTCGCATCCACGATGAGTTGTGCCCCTTGCATGGTTTGTGACTGGGTTGGACGGAAACGCAAGCATTCAAACACCTACGAACGCACGCAGTCCCAGCGATCCGGGAACACGAAGTTGATTCAAGCAGAGAACGATAGGGTCAAAGACAGAGACAGAGACGGAGGCGGAGATATCGAGACACGGAGGACATGCCAGAAGGGGAAGAGCAGATATAGATAACTTAGATAACGAGAGCTGTTTTGTAAAGCAGAGACTGGTATAAACGATCAGAGAACGCAGGAACAACAAAATCAAATAACAATCACAGATAATACAAAGCAAACGACACAATGCACACTTCGAGATTTGGTGCGGAGTGTTCCTTCCAAGACTTCGTCGTGACAACTGTGAAGGGCGCGTCGCAGAGCCTGGCTGCATGTGCTCCAGAAGCCGCGTGCAGGCAGGCTCATAGGATACCTTGAAGTTTATGCAGTTGTCAGGCAGACGTTAAGCACCCGGTTGCAGACTCGGTTGCAGGCAGAGCATGCTGGCATGGTTGCAAGCTGACCTTGGCACGGAGTCCCAAGGCGATGGGGGAAACAACAGTAAACTGTGGGAGATTTGATGTTGTCCCCAATCACGATGCCTTCCAGGGCCCACAGCCGCTGATTCAGCAGTGCAACCCGGGTGGTCTTCAGCGACAAGCACGACGAACCCGAAGGATTGTCGAGGGTTGTATCGACAGAGCGTGTTTGCAATGCAGCAGTAAGTTCACGAGAAGGGCGAAAGGTTGCTGCCTCGCCAATCGTGTCTTACAAACTGCGACTGTAAGTGCAACAGGCCGGCGGCCATGCGGTCGGGCACGCGTTAATTACCGTTAGTTGACTACACATTATCTGCAGGACTCCGGGAAAAAAAAGAAAAGCAAGGCCATGCACTCTTGGAAGTTGGTGCCACTTGAGCGCCTCACTGCTTTCGAGGCCCGCTTGATCGCCTGCCCTTGGCCTCTTGAGGCAGGCCTTAACAGCCCGCTTTTGTCGTGGACCACCGTTGCGGGATTCTGTAACAAAGCAAGCCTGCTGCCCTTGGCCCATGGCCACGCGCGACAAGACTGGTGGCACTCAGGACCCACGATTTCGAGTGTGTTCTTGCACGTGAATTGCATGGAAGTTCAAGGTTTAAGTTGTTTCGTGAACTAGGCGGGCGCAACAGCAAGCGGCGCTACTGAGGGCGTCTTGCGCCACGCTGCCTGGCGAATGTGGAATGCAGGGAAGCAGGATGCTTGCTCGGACCGACGGGAAAGGTCAAGGTTCCGATCGTTCTGTGAAGGGATCTCGTGTCTGACATGCTCGGGCTGATCGGGCACAGAATGCTGTTAGTGGGATGCTTGTCGTGCCAAGACCCGTGAGCAAAGATAATGGTACGTTGTCTTCCACGTGTTCAGGGAATGTTCGAGACCATGTGGTTCGGCGAGGATATCAACTCACATTTACTGGATGTCACAAGGTGAACAAACACGTGCAAGGTGTCAGCGCCGGTGCAGCAGCCTGCTCCGGCTTCACCTGCTGTCAGCTCCGCAAGGACTGGAACTTTCAATCCTATGTGACGTGTGCCATGCTCTGCAGCCGTTGCCACAGGACCCCCATGAAGCCCGCTGGCTGTCCAGTGACTTTCTTAGACACTTGGAAGCCATGCTTGTGGATATGTGAAACGGAGACATTGTGATGCTGAGGTACGGAGGGTGGCTTCAGTGCCTTCGGTGCAAGAGTCTCCGGTGGCCTCACGTTCCAGGACCTTGGCCTTCAGATTTGACTACCCCTGTGAAGCCACGAAGCCTGCCGATTGCTAGCGCCGCTTCCCTGCAAGGGGGCCATTGATGCCGGGCTGCTGTGCTGCAAGTCGCGGCAGGCTGCGATATTGAGGTGGTATTTGGTCGCTGTCTGCTAGGATGGTTGTCTCCTAGCAGTGATGCTCGTCTATAATTTACAGATATTTACAGGAAAGCAGCTCTTCAAATCCGGAGCCCAGGCTTGGTGACAGACTTCCTGGTCTCGCGCGAAGGAGCGCACACACTGGGTTTTTGGTGGACATCGTAGATTGGTAAGTACATGTTCTAGGCCGATTCTACATACTGATAAACCATTGGCGCAGAGAGGCGATGTCATGCATGATGATGACAAGCATAATGGCCGAATGGCCTAGAGCCTAGCCTACACTGACCGCTTGCAGCCTTAACGAACCCGTCCAGCCTTTCAGGGGAGTTGTCGAACAAGACCATCCCGTCAGAAGGCTCTCCACAGGACTTGGAACTTCTGCTTGCATCCCGAAGGGTGTTTCGGAGCGGAGCAAGGTTGAAGGCCTGATTGTTGGGATGTGATGCAGCACTCTCCCTGTGCTGCCTAGTTGGGCTTGTTGAGGGGATAGCCACCATGACAGGCGGTCCTTTACAGGAGCTTTGTCGTTGATGGAGTGCGGTGGGATCGCAGCAAGGGGTAGATGGTTCCAGAGGAAGAGCCCTCGACTTCACCCATCGTGTGACCCGGGTATTGAGTAGACACTTGCTTCAGCGATGATGGGCCAACGTGGCAAATGGGTCATCGAATTCATGACATCGCCTGATTCGGAGTTCACGACTCTGCAGCAGTCTGTCGAAGCAGGAGCTGATCGTGTCGGATTCCACACCCACAATGCTCTCGACGCAATCGACACTGTCAACATTCTCGAAGTCAACGCACTCCTCCTGCATCTTGCCTACAGAAGCATGAAAAGCCGTCTCGCTGCGAACCCTGGGCTGTGTGGTTCTGCTCTCGGAAATGAGACACAGGTGACCACGGTGACGTAGAGTTTCTGGAACCAGAGGAGCTCAGGGTTTGGGATTTTGTGGTTGCATGGGTCTGGTATCCTGGTCGCAATGTAGTGAAGCGAGTGAGCTCCAATGATTTCCCGTGTAGTTCCGTGCTATGACTGTTGCAACTCCCGGCATGCGCATGGCTGGCCGGAGGAGCAGCCCTGGCAAGGCAACGGCGACTGGGTTCAGAATTGTCTCGCCATCGCTATGGCTTTGACGGGAAACATCACAAATCTTCTATTTGCTCCTTGTCCCAGTGAGGCTCACGGAAGAAGCAGAAGAAAAGGAACGGGGCGCCTTGACTGCCGAGTCATGAAGGGAGAAACAAGTTTACATGCCCACGGTTATTTTTGCTGGTGCATTGTAAACTAAAGTAATGCTATAGGCTGTAGTAAACTTTCTGTAGCAATCTTGGGGCATGCAGGTGCTCTTTCGCATGCATTTCTGTGCGCAGTGGGGAATGGGCCAATGCCGCCAAAGCTCCCCCTCCAGCCGTGGTGTAATAACTTCACTGGCACATTGCCTTCTCTCGTTCAAGGCTGTTTGGCACAGATCGGTAAACGGACACAAACACGAAGTGTTTAGGGTGTGCATATCAGACTGTGACCATGTGCTCCGTGCGCTTGCCATTGCCAAGGACACCCATTGTTTTTGTGTGGTTTAGTGGCTATCGGATTCTTATTTAGTTTTTCCGTTTGTAAAGCATGTTATATTGTTTGACTACCTTGGACGTACCGAGCTTTTGTGATCGACTCTCCTGTCATGATTAGGACACCAGCCTAAGTATCCAAGGCTGCTTTCGTTTGTGAGTACAGCTTGATCCCTCGCCAAGAGATCTTGGAGGCGCCAAGCATGTGCCTTGGAAAGCTGCCACTGACACTTGCGGACATCCGATCAGGATGCCGTGTAATCAGTGCATGAAGTGTCAGCAGGCGCTTGCTCGGCCGTGCTAAGGCTACAGGAAAGGCAACTAGAGGAAATCAGATTTTAGAGCGCTTCAGTCCTGTTGTTCTCCTGTTGTCTGCCAGGCCTTTGAGTTCGTTCCGAAACTCTACGGCCGCAGCACGGCTGATCGGGCTAATGTGTCTTTACACTCGTTTCACGAGATGCTTGGAACATATCCCTGCGTCTGTGAGCTTGGTGCACCTTGTCAAAAGTCTTACTTAGTGCTGCTGTCGCTCGAGCTTAAGTTGTCAAGTGCCCCAGGTACAGGCAAAAACATGAAAGATATTGCTGCCAGCTGTGGCGGCAAGGCGAAGAGGGTGCACGGTTTAGATCAGAGATGTGCGCTCGGTTCGGCTGAGCAACATTTCGACTGCTGGTCCAGCTCACCGGCTCGGTGAACTGCTCTCTCTGTGGGCAGAGACTTCGAACGGAGACTCCCACGACCTTCCAGAGGTCCGCTTGCGCGGGCGTGGCAGCCGATATTACGAGCTTGGCGGCCTCGAGGCTCGATACCAGAGCTGAGGAATGCTGAGGAGAAGACTTACTGCTGACTTGTGACAATTTCTTAGTGTCTTAGTGTTTGTGGGGTCTTGTTTTCTTAGACACTTTTGCTTCGGCTGCTTGGTCGCTGAGTACTGCGAGTACTTGTACAACTGGTTGTATTTGCACTGGCCTGAAAAGGGATGGTCAACCCGGAAGTGGAACCCGTGAACAGCAAAAGGAGGCCGCATCTGTGAAACCAGACTGGAGTGGGCGGCCCTTGGACAGAGTGGGCCACCAACGTTCTGCTGGAGGAAGATAAGAGGCACATATGAGTCACATGTAAACGAAGCAAGAATTCGCAAATTCATGTTTCCACCCAAAACGTGAAAACGTTACCACAACGAAGCGTGCGAGCCTGGAAACCCTCAGCAACATCCGCCCTTCTCACTGCCTCGAGGCACCAATGAACTTGAAGCTTTACTTGAGCTGTGCCAGCCAGAAGAGTTTCGAGGCGGGGCAAGACGGGTAAGAGTTGAACCGGTGCATTGCATAGCCACCCTGGCATCCTCCTCTTGCCCATTGGATTTTTTCTTCCTATTGTGGAACGTTGTCGATTGTATTTTTCATGGACAATATAGCTATGTTGCACTGAATGCTAGTGGGCATAAGCTTAATGCATCTTGCTGAACAGCCTGTGAGAGTTGGTTGCAGGTTGGCCACAAGATGGTCCTCGACCTCTGCCCTGCCGCTGCTTTCGTGCCTCACAAGCCGTGCATGATTTGTTGCAGCTTGCATCCCGCTGCCATACAGCTCGAGCAGAGTTGCAGCAGCCATCTCTGCATGAGCCTGCAGATTGTTCTGCCGCTTCATAGGTGCTAGCCTAGAGGCTTCTCTGAAGATCACCAAGCTGCGTCCTTTTTGGGGTGTCTGAAAGTCGTGTTTCAGACCGCTCCAGAGTGGAGAAACGAGCCCCCGGTGATGCTCATGATGATGACCTGTCGGCTCCGATACGGGTCCCGATGATGCTCATGATCGCTTGCTGGCTTGGGTTTGGACTCCAAGTAGGATTTTGTTGCTTGATTCATTCTGTTCCTGAAGCCCTTCTGCCTGCGCATCTTGCTGCTTGAGACTTGC